GTTAAACATGTTTTTTGAGATCTCAACCCTCCCCCTATACCTCTAGCCAATGTAGAAAAAACAAACGTACAACAGTACGCACAGTAAAACTCAGTTTAAGAGAAGTCCGAGTCCGATGTCAGAATAGGAAACAAAAGAAAATAAACAAAATGACAATAATACATAAATAACAACAGACTACTAGCAGTTACTGACATGCCAGCTCCAGACCTCAATTAAACGGATTGAAAGATTATGTCTTCATCATATGAATATCAGGCACAATCCCTCCTGTTAGGGGTTTAGTTATATACCATCATAAAATATATGAGAAGTACATAACCCGTGTCATGCCAACCACTGGTTTTAGAATAAATATGTGTAATTCCGATGCAAAGACCCTATAAGTGAATCAATATTAAAGCCAAAATATGCAATCTTTAATGACCTGACAACAGTATCGTAACTATATCCCTTCTTAATAAGTCTGTTTAAAGGTTTTGTTAGCTTTTGAGGTGAATACTGACATTTTTGTGCTTTGTAAAGAATATTACCATAAAAGATTGGACGTGAAATACCCGAACGTATAAGATGTCTGCATGTTGAGTTATATTTACGAATGATGTCCTTATACCGATGATAAAATTTAGTAAATGTTTTGACTAGTTTATGATATCGAAAACTAACATAGATTAAAAATTAAAAAGAATAAATGAATGAACCAATTTAATCTAGAGAAAGAAAAAAATTTAAATTGTTTACGAATTTTCATATTATAACTTTAATGTCAGAAAGTGGTGCTGATTTGCAAGTAAATTAAATCTAAACTGGACTTACAGTGCTACAAGTAAAACAATTTATAACAATTATTATCCAAACAACCAAACACTTTATTTATCATACCGAAACGGACATGCTAACGGGGATAACGTATTGGTATGACGTGTCTGATAACTTGCACGTACAGCTAGACTATCTTTTTCCAAGGTACAAACAGGGAAAATTTTGATTTTTGATTCCAACTTTATAAAAATAATCTTGTTACTTGCATGAAGAATAGTATGTTTTACATAGAATATTGAACCTTTAACGTCTTTAATGGTCAGAGATAAGTTTGAAAAAGGCAGAAGTATACTCGTTTATGCCTTTGGGTGAAGATCTACAGTCAATCGCTTGCTTTTGGCGGTAGTTTTTTTTTCAACGTCATAGAAAACCTTATTTCGTCTTGTAAATATTTGAATCCTTTTGTGAATATTTGTCTCCCACAATGTCTTTAGTTTTCGTTCAATACCACGTTCATTTATGAAGAAGACAGAGAATGTGTCTACCCCTACAAAGTTCGAAATGAATTACCAGCACTTCTCAGTAAAAAATTGCGACTGATGACACTTATGTTGTCACGTGATACATTTGAAAACACATATATTGAAGATTCTGGTTTGCATTGAAAAATTACTGGATTTAATGACTTGTGATAGGGACAATTTATTCGAAATATTAACCAAAAAAAATTGCAAATATTGGATATGTGAACAAACACTCTGTGAAATAAACTTTTTCTAAATACGATACTTTTGAGAAAATTAAGGCAAACAAACCATGTGTTTACACATATTGACTAAGTTCAGTAACCTTCAAATCTGAAAAACTTATGAGTTTGAATTTCCCTTTGGTATCCTTCGCCTCTCTTTTATAAGTCGAAAATAAACTGACTACGCCATGGCTAAAAAAGAAAAAGACAAACAGACCAACAACAGTACAAAAAACACAACATAGAAAACCAAAGACTGAGCAACACGAACCCTACTAAAAACTGGGGGTGATCTCAGATGCTTCGGAAGGATAAGCAGATCCTGCTCCACATGTGGCGACCGTCGTGTTGCTCATGTAAGTACAAACCCGGTGATAAAGCTAATTCGGTAGGTCACATTAGGGAAAAAGGGGACGGGATTTTAGTTACGACGTTTTGACCATATCCGTTGTCATCTGTGAAAACGGATATTCCATAACGGTCATCCAAGTCGTGATGGCGTCCGTAAAATTTACGAAGGGACGATTTTAATTTCACTACTTGGAACTCTTGGTTTAATGGCTTCCTTGTGAGCAGCAAAACCTCTATCAAGAAAATCATGATAGGAAATACAAGCCCTGGAACATTGTATCAACTGGGAGATAAATACTCCGTATGCAGGCGCTGCTGGAATTTTGCTACATAGAAATGGAATGTTTACAATTGGAAAGCTGAAATCATCTCTTTCGTCGTAAGTTTTTGTTTTCAACCGAATCTCATTGTCAATTTTTAGATGTAAGTCAAGATATGAGGCTGACTAAACTGTATCTGTTGTATCCTTAATCTCAAGTTCGATGGGATAGATGCGTTCAACATAGTCAACAAATTTCGAATTATTTAGTGAGAGAACAACATCTATATAGCGGAATGTGAAGTTATAGGATACTGCTTACTTCTTTTCTTTGTTTCTAAGAAGTTCCTGTATAAAGGCAGCCTCATGAATAAAAGAACAAGTCGGCATGGGAATGCCGAATCACAATTCTGGTATTATTCGTATCTTTTTTATATATATAAATAATATGAAAAATACAAGTTCCGGTGACAATACCTATTTCAATCGACAGTTTAATTACTGTCTTAAGGGCATACGATACAGTTACAAGGGAGGTAATGACGTTTCCAACGTAAAATGTTATTTTTCACGACGTCAAACTGTGAATAATTATTTGAAAAAAAAAAAAATTCTCCTTTGATTTGTGTACAAATGTTTTCCCAAATAAAATGAACCATGTACCTTTTGAAACAATGAGACATCCAACTTTATAAGCGGGAGAATAAGAAAGAAACTGATTAAAGAGAAATCATATTCCTGAAAACACACACACCTTTGATTTGTGTACAAATGTTTTCACATATAAAATGAACATCCAATTTTATAAGCGGGAGAATAAAAAAGAAACCAACTTGCATCCACAAGTGAAGCTTACTTTGAAAGAAGATTGGCATCTTAGACATATGTTGATACATCTAGGAATTCTTCCAGTAATAGTGTATAATATCTGCATGTTGTATATAAGAACTCTACTGCAAGATACAAAAACATAACTGAGAAAACTTGAATATCGTTTGTTCACATTGACATTTTAATAAAGACACAAAACAAATGTTAAACAATTACATGTGAATTTAATTCTGTCTATTTAAATGCAGATTTTAACAAGCATGACAGTGTGCATTTATTTTTTCTTTAGCAACAAAATGGTAAATCAGATCTAGAAAATAAAACATAAAGAACCACTCCAGTGAAATAAAAAGAAAACAAGTGAGATAGCCAGCTCTATTTGTGACATGTTGACAGATAATGAATTCAAGAAAAATACGGAATATTATTCCATCTTCAATTTCTGGACATATCTTCGATTTCGTTACTGGTCCATGCCTAATTGTACGATCTCAGTACTTCCCAAATTTCTATCTATAGGCAATGTTATTTTTTAAATTACCGTCAACATTAATAAACCAAAATAAACCGAAAGAAGTACAGGCATATTCGTCAATAAGACATCAACTAAGGGACACAAACATTAAGTAACATATAGGGCTCAACATACATTCCTAAACTATAGACATGTGTTTATACAATACGTAAATCTCTAAATAGTCCCAAGTTTAAAAAGTTGTGAAAATTATAAAAGAACATTATCACAGATCTGACGTCATTAAATTCCTTAAAAAAATAACAAAAACATCAAGATATGACATATAAATCCAAACACTGACGAGGTTCTCGATAGTCGCATATATATGTGGCAATGTAACACTAAATATTATTCCAATTTTGGCCCTCTCCATTTCAACCTCGATCCGTGGAGTTACAAAAGTTTCATGAATGTATACACAATAAAAATATAAACATTCCACAGTAACGGTAAACTAGATAACAAAAAAGTACACCCAAAACAATTCGTATCAGAGAATACTCCTAGTTACTGAAAGCAATGGAAGCTTAAAGTTTTTAAACTGTTGAAATGAGATTATGCTGTTCTACAGTCTTATGTCGATTCATAAAAGATTTCATCTGTTAACGTCAAGTACAATGGCATTGCAGAAAGACATGATATTGACCAATTACCAGAAAAATTGCACGAAATTCTGGGAAGAAATAAAAAAGAAATATTTAAATCGTGTTAGCAAATTAATGTTTATCCAAAAGTTCCAGATGCAGTGATAAAACTTCAATGCTATAATTATTACCCTTATCATTAAGTATTTTAAGCAAACAATAAAGATGTAAAAGACACTTCCAATACTTCTTAGTTTCATAAATAACATTAAAACCAAATGACAATATCACTTTCTACTTTAAATTCCTACAGGTGGAATCAATCTCGATGTTTGTGATACAAATTTAAGTTTTTGACCAATTTATCTATTAATTGCTTTAACAAATTGATAATTAAAAAAAACATGTTCGTTGAAATCCAAGACGTCAGTGCAAACACGTGCATATCGAACCAACCGAGAAATGTACACTCGACACATGTACTCATTTTAGCTCATCGACAATATATTTCGAACTTATCATTTCTCAGGAAGACCAGAAGTTTACATTCTGAAAGGTAAAATTTTACAATTTCAATATACTTCTATGTGTACTGTAAGAAATAAGCAGTTCGATGTATAAGGGCAGTATAATCAAGGAGTACATTTGTTTTTTGAGTTATTTTGCTACAGTCCCCACTAACTAAAGAATAAGTCTAGTATTCTAAATCTGATAAAATAAACTTTATCATATGTACAGACAGGAATTTGTCTTACGTGGTGTTTATTGGACTCGATTTACAATGTACGTGATGTTCATTGGACTCGATTCAATCTTAAAATTAACTGGTCGAAATATGAAACGACAGAGGATGGAAATAAAAATTACCCACTGAAGTGAATGCATAAATGCAAAAAAAAACAGTATCTTCAATGACTAGATATTCATGCATCGGCTGACAAGACATACCTGTAAATTCCATTCTGGATATTGTTCCTGGTCAATGGATGCCACACGTTTAATGTACTCTCTTACATGTGAAGAAGACATGATTCCGTTGTTACAAATAAGCTACCTTTACACCATATATATGCTTTCAATCAGTTTAGGTTTGTTTTTTGTTGTACCATCGTTTAATCTAATGTAAAATAGAATAAAACAAAATCTATATATTCGCCATTAATAAAGATTGTTCGTATATCGAAATTTTTTTTATTGTAATTAGCAGCTATTGTATTGTGTACCCTCAAAACATGTAAGTAAACTTAGTTGTAAAATTACCATAGATTTTGTACTTTAGAATTATTATATTATATTGATATACCTGCACGTTCATATTTTTAGTGAAAGAAAACGAATAATCGACCAAAAAGATATATTTGTTTAAATACATACACGATATAAGCCAATGTTTCATCAATTTTTACTGTTGATCCTTACAAGCATTTGACAAAAACAAAATAAGGAAAGGGATGTGTATTGTGTATATCATACGCTAATAAATAGATATTAATCATTTACAATCATGAGATGAGAGTATATATTGTCTCAGTAGAGTTATGTTGATAAACTAAGAGTAATCTCAGTGCTAAATAAATATCATTGAAACCAGTCGTGATGATACTACTTGGAAACTGGATTTAAATTTAAAAACATGTAGGCTTACTATGATCAGGGGCGAATCCAGACATTTTTGAGGGGGTGCAAAACGAACTTTTCAAATATACTTTTTTTTTACTTGATTTTAATGTCATTATAGGTATAACAAAACAAATGGTAACACATTGTTTACAAAATTGATTCATTCTTTTTTTAGCGCCGCGTGGTTTTTTTGTAGGGTACTCCCTCGAGTGCGGGAAGTTGTGGGTTTGAACCCCGGCCTAGTCGAACCAAAGACTTGGAAATACGTCTTCGCTGATTTTCCGCCAAGAACGTGTCATTTAGGAGTAAGAGCATAGACTGGTCGACTAGGAGTTAGAAAAATGTGTCCGTGTTGGCTGACATGTCAACCATGTTTCCTTGTGGAAAAAAGCACGTTAAGATTCAGGTTTAGTGTGTCGGTTCAGCACAAAGCAGGGTTTATATTCTGACCATATCACATTATTATGATGCCCGAAAAGTGTAAACTATCATATCAAGGTATAAGTGTAAATATATAATACAAGTACATCAGTGTTAATCCATTACGTGAAGTCAGTTCTCACCTATTGTTGCTATTATAAACATGGTAGAAATTACATGAATTAAATATGCTATGCATTGGTGGGGTCTTGGCATGATTAAGAAAAAGTGAGTGAATTAGAAATATTTTAAACTAATCAAAGAACAAAAAAGGTCTACTGTAAAGTTTAAGGAAAAGGGCAACCAACTCATAATATTTACACAAGAAAGAGCAAGAGTCATATGAGTATAGAAATATAGTAACTTTAACATCTCCAGTCTTGTATTGGGGAAGGGGGTCTGTTTAAACACAATTACGTCTGATCGAAATGCATTCATTAAATGTATTATCCAGTCTTCAGACAGTGCAAAACACATTTTACTTTGTTCTATTATCCTTTTCGACCCTTTATTGCCAACAGAACCTAGACAATTGATTACATGTTAAATACAAGTATGTAAACGTCTTAAATGCTACTGAAATGTTTGATATTTGACTTCAAAAAGTAACTGCTAGTAGTCTACAGGGAGAGAGAACATTTTTTTGTTTATTCGCCAGCCATCAGATCTTGGGTTCATCCGAGTAAACAGTACTTCAGTACTTTGATATAAATTGAAATAAGTTTTCTACTGCAAATTACTGCAAAGTACACAAAATTATGATATTAAGGGCAAACCAAGTTAAGATGGTATTATGCTTTTAAAAGAATTATAATTTATGAAGTTAAATGTTTTGCTTTTCCTTATATATTTTCTATGGAAGTTACGATAAAAATGATAAAAAAAAATACTAAAGCTGTTTTATTCTTGAAAGAATAATTTTCTCATTGTCAATCTTACCTCGTCTCGTTTTTATATTGCTCAGTCCTTTATTTTCATTTTTAAATCGAGCTTTACTGTACGAGTAAATCATTTGGCGAAAACGTCAATAAGACAGAATCCAACAATATGGGAACAAAACTAAAGAATATGCTAGTTCCATCAAAAAAATATATATATGATAGATTCACTTTTTATCTATAAAAAATCAATGCTGCCTGTCTGTCTGCCTCTAATTAAAAAAAACACATACATAAAGTAATAATACTATAGATATATATATATCACATATCACAAGTGGTAAACTATTAATTTACACCTTTACATTTTTGCAAAGGTATACTTATACAATATGATTTATTTACTTGATATACATATCACAAATTACAGTAATGAAGCTATGTCATTACGATTGTGGAACAATAGTTTTAAATTATTGGTCTTTATATCATCATTAAAAATGATTAATGGATGTTTATAAAACATTCTCAAGGTTAACGTTCTGAAAGCAAGTTTACAATTTGTCTTTAACAAGAAAAGTTGATGGACTGAGAGAATGGATCAAAATCTGTATAATACTGTACTAAGCAATTTTCTGAAAGAAGTAAACATCACAGTATTTGCAGAATTCTTAGTATACCAAATTTCAGACAATTGCAGAAACATATAACATCAGCAGACTAATTAATCACGTAATAATTTTAACAAATGACAATCGTTTAACCTTATATAAACAGTTGTTCCAGTCTCAAATATTCGGATTCTTCAACAAACATATTCAAACATTTGCCATACCCATTTTCATTTATCTTATTCTAAACGTCTACTTTATTGACAGATGGCTTCGACGCTTAAATTTATTTTAGTCTATGCCTAGCAATAAATTCCTTTATGATAGATCATGGTTGAAAATAAAATGCCCAATTAAGTGACTTGTTAGTTTCGCTTCTAAGAACAAATACCATAATTAGAGAAATTTTATTCCAATAATCGTTTTCTTTTCCTTTTGTCACGATTAGCAAACATATGCTCAATAATTGATATGCGCTTTAAATGACATCCAAGGTAGATAAACCAATACTTACACCTGGAAACTCTCATAAGTTGTCGATTTCATCAAAAGTTTTTCGTTTATTTTTTTATTTTCATCGAACGAATCCTTCAAATTCTATAATTACGGCGTATTTGTTTTGCTTCGTTCAAAGAATCTTGGTTTTATGTAGGTGTTTCTCAAGTGTTGTAACAAGCTGATTAACAATACTTTAAGGTATTACACCGTCAAATTAATTAGCTCTTAACTTTTTCTATTCGCTGCGAGGGCTGGTTTTTATATACTTGGTTCTCCGAACCGAATGATTCGATATTCTACCTTTTCTCTCCAAGTTTGCATGACATTAAAATTATTATCACAAGTAAATTGTTTTATTCTTTTTAAAAGAAATAAAATAAGCTTACCAAAAGTGAAAATGTTAGTGACAGAAAAAAGTATATAACTCCAAGGTAAATAAAAAATGGGGCTAGTCCATAAAAACTGACAAAGAAAAATGTAAGACTTTATAATCAACTCACAGGACGAATGTTTCTACACAATAACTTTTACTCCTACAATGCCTTAATTCATTTATTGATGTTTTTTTTCTAAATAAGATAAATAAATTATTCCTGACAACAGAAAACATTGGTTAATCTCTTAAACAAAAACACAACAGGTACTTAATAGAAAAACAAAGGATATGACTATGATTCTTAATTCAATTTAAAACACAAAGAATAAAGATTTCTATAATCGTCTCGCTCGGCTTCGGTGATCTTATTTAAAATAAATTTTAGTTGTACGACTTTGCCCCCAGCAGAGTTATAGAAAAACTGTACAATAACGGGTGTTACACGGACACTTTTAAAAAAAGACTTTTTAGAAAAGAGTCACTCGTGCATTCAGTGAGTTCATAGGCACTATATCGTACACCTTGTGACCTAATTATCCTGTTTTATAAATATAATTTATATGAAAAGTGTTCATAAAACTTATAATTATAAAAGAGCTAACTATGTCCCAAAATGCTGAAATTTAGAAAAGTGTCTACGAAGTTACTGACTGCAAGAGTAACTGCAACCATAAAATGTTTCCGTGTACAAACCTCTCGTGGGTTTGCTTAGCAGTAAAGCTGAAATCTTTTTAATCGTCTAAATCTAACTATACGGAGGATTTCCCCTATTCTATCCATGTTCAAGGAATTTGCATGAGTCAAATTGTGGTAGAACCAAATCAGTCTCAACTTCAATAAACATCCACCCATTTTGGATATAGGGATGGAAAATGACAAAAATATAATTGTATCACGTGATCAATACTTGGGTCTACTCGAATTTCACATTACTGTAATGAGCATGAAATTAAACAAACAAAAAAAGATTTCCAAAATAAGTGGATCACTAAGTTGAAAACGAGACAAAAAAAATATTTTTCATTGAATGTTATTCCCCATAAAACAGAGAAACAGTTTTTTTATATTAAGATATGTTGTTCTTTATTTTATTGATTTTGACAATATTAATACATGTTGTATTTACATACGTCTACAATTCTTAAATGTGTTAAATCTGTTATTCATATTTTTGTTGTTTATTTCCTTTTTTTTTCTTTTTGGGGGTGGGGGGAGGGATATGAGCCCGGGAAGTGGGCAATTCCCCCTTTCAAAATGGGGGACGGATGAGGCAAAAAATATTTCTTTGTTTGGCTTTGTTTTGTTTGAACATTTATTTTATTAAAATATAAAGTGGCTACGAAAGAGGACATTAACTGATTTCTAGACTATTATGATAGACAATATGATTAAAGGTCTTTTTTTTTACTGGTCACTTTAAGAATCCCCCCCCCCTTTTCTCAACTTTTCAATCCATTCCTACTTCACTGATATGTATCAAATGAATAAGCAATAATTTTACTCGCACACACCTGCTATCTGATAGAATTGAGAAGCGCTAACGCAAAATCCCTAATTAAATAAAAACTAAATATCTCCAAACATCGTGGTACATAAACCCGTATGCAATTTTTGGGTGTTCAATCTTTTTAATTATGCAATCGTCTTAACATGTTTAACCCTGCCACATTCTGTTTGTATGTGCCTGTCCCAAGTCAGGAGCCTGTAATTCAGTGGTTGTCGTTTGTTTATGTGTTACATATTTGTTATTCGTTCATTTTTTGTACATAAATTATGCCGTTAGTTTTCTCGTTTGAATTGTTTTACATTGTCATTTCGAGGCCTTTTAAAGCTGACTGTGCGGTATGGGCTTTGCTCATTGTTGAAGGCCGTACGGTGACCTATAGTTGTTAAATTCTGTGTTATTTGGTCTCTTGTGGAGAGTTGTCTCATTGGCAATCATACCACATCTTCTTTTTTATATTAAATGCAAAATGTATTACTTTCTAATCAAAAATGCGTACAAGTCAGATACAAAACAAAAGTAACAAAATAAACAGGATGGTAACAACCAGCCGTATAGTTTTTCTGTACTTGTAATCAGGACAAGGTCCTCGACTATCGCCTCTGACTCGACCCGACTACTCGTGCAGAAAAACTATACGCCAACGGTTGTTACCAGCCTGTTTTCTTGTTACCTTTGTTATCTATCTGATACAAGTTCTCTGCATAAAACACCTTCCGAATACAAAATTAATACTCGTAAGGCACGAACTCTTACAGTATAAATTACAGGATTAGAGTTTCTTATAACTTTATTTGTTTTTATTCTGGAGCTAACGAAATTTTGACATGATTTCAATAAACCCTAGTTCGATGCATGTGCGAATCATGTTTTTCAAAGATATTTCCCATTGAACATTTTTCTTTTATCAAATCAGTTGTTTACTTTAACTGTATAATTAGCATATTAAGTAGTGTCAATTTAAATCTATTTCGCTTTCAACTCATTGGGTCACGAGTGAGCATAATCGAAGCAGACATGAACTTAATATATTTTGAGCTTTCAAATAAAATTGATAGCTGGAATTTTGTTTAAACCAGCCGTCTATTTCTTGTTTTGGTTTATTGTTTTTTATTTATTTTATTTTTATTTAATGTTAGATTTGTTAACGAATTCCAACGAATTAACATCAAACGGTGAGGTTGAGATGTATGAAAAAAATAGTTTAACCCCCCAACATATTAATAGCGGTTATCTTGTGTCATATTTTATGTTTTTGGGTATTTCAAAAAATGTGTTTTATATGTATATACGGCAGATGTTTGCATATAGTTTCTTTTTAGTTATTTACTTATTTTATACGCGGAACGGTTACATGGGTATAAGCTGTCAAATTCATGTTCACCGATATGACCCAATTTCTCATATTTGATATATCATAACATACTAACCGTATATTCAAACTACAAAAAGTCAAAAAGAAACAATTAACAATACATGGACTTGTTATACTGTATCAGTATTTCAAACGTATTGTATGCATGACCCCATCTAATTATCATTCGAGATGACCTTCGAAGACTGCTGGCGGTCATACAACCTGATATTAACATAAATAAAAATATAAATAGACAGTCAAGCACGTGCAATCGTATAATAACGATTTTTTTTTAGGTCTGTTTGATTTCTTTCATATTTTAGATTAAAATATATGTATATGATCATCGTTTTACCACTATAAGAATGATTTTTTGGTGGGCCGGATGAATTAAAGAAATGGTTATTCCTTGTGTCCCTTGTTTCACTTTTCAATGTTGACATTCTTTTTATTTTTAAAGAATGAAAATGCTGACAACACATGCGTAACCCATCTTCACCTCAGGTCAGATTTAAGGTTGAATGCATACGTATTCAAATGAGGTTGAATTATTGACTCGGCGATGTTTTTTAGCTGGTTTTGACGATATTGAACCAAACTATAATTAGTATTTCAAATTCCACTTTTATAAAAATTTGAAACAAAAAACAAAATCATCGTACTGCTAATACCCCGTTAAGAGCTTGATATATTAAAGACTATGATGATCTGTATATGTCTTTTAAATATTTTTGTCGTTTGAATGCTGTCTCAATGATATACGTATACTCCACATTTACTTTTTTGTATATCTAAAAGCCTCAAGATGCATCGTAAATCGATTTGTTTGAGTGTACTGTACATTTGTTAGGAGAGCATCGACTGTACAGTAACTTGGTTATACAAATTGTATGTTTTAAATTTGGACGAGTACGCTAAATCAGGATGAAACAGTTGTTTTATCAATCAATTATGCTTTAATTTTTCATGCATATTCATGTCACATGAAAACGCGAAATATTTTATTCAATAAACTCACTTACTTGTATCCCATTAGTACACAACTAAATGTACATATTGGCTATGATTTTAAGTCGCGTTCGAGTTGACAACTTGTATAAGAGAGTGTCCATTGTAAGGTACCATCTCACAATAATTTCCCTGATACTAATTTTCCCTTACTTGCTAGTGTATATGTATATTGAGTAATGAATATCTTTATATTTCTCGCAGACAACTTTGTTCTTGAAAACAAACATAGTTATATCTGCTTTGTAAATATAGCATTTGGTCTTTACTTTACAAAGATATACAGGAGAGGCGGGAAATACCAAAGGGATATTTAACTCAAAAGAAGAAAACGAACTGACAATACCGTGGCTAAAAACGAACTGACAATACCGTGGCTAAAAACGAACTGACAATACCGTGGCTAAAAACGAACTGACAATGCCGTGGCTAAAAACGAACTGACAATACCGTGGCTAAAAACGAACTGACAATACCGTGGCTAAAAACGAACTGACAATGCCGTGGCTAAAAACGAACTGACAATACCGTAGTTAAAACGAACTGACAATGCCGTGGCTAAAAACTAACTGACAATACCGTGGCTAAAAACATAAAACGAACTGACAATACCGTGGCTAAAAACGAATAATGACAAACAACTGTCTACAAAACACAACCTGTACGCATTTAACTGAGAAAAAAAAACAGTCCAACTAAATACAAACGCGTGAAAATAAAATTATATCTTTTTACATAATTACGTATAGCGGAAGTGCCATGTATGCATTTGACGAAGATTACAAAATGAATAAAATAGGAAGATATGGTATGATTGTCAATGAGACAACTCTCCACCAGAGACAAAAAGACGTTGAAGTTAAGAACTATAGGTCATCGTACGGCCTTCAACAATGAGCAAAACCCATACAGCATAGTAAGCTATAAACGGCCTCGAAATGACACACGTAAAACAATTCAAACGAGAAAACTAACGGTATATATAAATCAGGCCGATTTATGTACAAAACAAATTTGATATGCAGCAACAAACAACAACCACTGAATTACAGGCTCCTGACTTGGGACAGTACTTCACCAAGCTTTTTACTGTTTTGGATCTTTTTATTATGTAAGAGAAGTATAATATTTGTTTATTGTTTTGTAGTCGTATCTGTTTATCTGTCAACGAATAATAGGCTATAATTGTATTTTGGAGCCTGCTAATTGTACATGCTTTACTAATGACATAGTCGGATCGATGCCAAAAAATCAAAGGCTTTTTAAGGGAACTAGCCACAATCTGATTTTCTTAAAACTATAGGAATAATGTGTAATATCGAAAAAATTTCATTTTCACCAACAAAAAGACTTATTTGATTTATGCCAATAGAACATTTGAA